CCCGCACCCGGGTGACACCATTGGAGGGGTGACTGTCAGTCATTTTGGTGTCACCGCCTTTGAAAAGTCAGACATAGATCCATAGTCATAGAGAGCCCGACAGTTACAAGAGAGAGGAGGGGTCCCAGCGGCATACCTTATCCCGCTGGGTCAACGTCCCCTCCTCACCAAGATGGCCGCCAGCAGGTATCAATAAGATGACCACGCATGCGTGATGACGTCACAGCGGGGTGTCACCCGGTATCTGCTCCGGGTGATCCCCAGCCTCGGGACGCCCCTGCTAATGTAAGTATGAAAAATAGTTCCTACCTGGAGTTCAGCTTTAACATGTTGAAGCTTATGTGAGATTTTAGCTCTACTTTAAAGTTGAAAAAACACAGAGGCTGCCATTACCAATTTCTACCAAAATGCTAGTTGCCCGAGTGTCATGCTTCCCTAATGGCTTCAGTACTTTATATATTTTAAAGCAGAAAAATTACACAGATGAGGAAATCTGACCTCACTGTATACACACTTACTGGAACTATGACTTTCAGAAAAGGCAGCCTCCTTATTTCAGTCAGTACAGGTTACCTTTCACAGTTATTTAGCATGTATCAGCATTTTATAAGCTGGGAGATATGTATGCATCAGGTCTATGTGCTGCCAAAGCACCTGGAAATACTACCTGAAACAGAATACAGTGTTATATATGGGATTATGTTTTTCATGAGTCACATTTGATGTCTTTTCATAAGGAAAAAAAAGAAAAAAGGGTAAATAGATTTTGTAGTGTGTCTGTGCTTTTAAGAGTACTGAAGTGCCTGGAGCCCCGAGGCTAGAATCACACTGGAGACAGGCAATGTTTGTACAGAGCATCAGGGATTATGTGACAGGAACTTGGCACTTACATTAACTGCTACATACAGGAAAAGAAAGATATAAGCGGCAGGTTGATTTGGCTAAAATAAGCAGGTGAACACAGCACACATGGGGACTGTGGCTCAAAGCTGGGACTATTTCAGAGATCAGGCACAGATGAAGCTCATGCTAGAAGATTCATTTATACATATACACAGCAAAGAAAAGCAGACAAGTAGTGATTTGTGTTGAAAACAAGTCCTCAGACTGGAAACTGGCTTCATAATTCCCAGGCTGGTTCTTTGGAGAGGAATCTACTCAATAAAAATACCCACTTTTAGCTTCCCCTTCTTGGAACCATCTTATAGACAGTTCTCACAGAAAGCCAGCAACATTTGTGGTCTCCTGTGAAATTCAGAGGCTGTAAATGGTGTGGCAAAGCGACTTCTAGAGCAGAAAACCTTGCCCCAATGCCAAGGAAAACAACGCACTGAACACCCATGGGATTTTACAAACATAAAGCCACAGGTTCTCTTTAATGTTTTGGATTCTGTACCAGTCATGTGGAATTTGTTTTGCATATCTCTATGGCTATATATATATATATATATATAA